AAGATGGTGGGAGTCCTACCTATTGAGCTGGCCGTCAAAAGCTCATCATAACTCTTTTTTTTGTGATTGACAACGACCTCCTATAATGTACTTTTAGGTCGAGATTGAATCCATCTAAGTGAATGTGTCCCATAAACTCTCCACTAAAAGCTAATATTATGGAACTTCGAACCCCGTTTGTGGATGACATTCACATAGAAGACGCTTGGCTATAAGACGAAGGGATAGGGCCAGTGAAATTTTAGGGATAGAACAAGTATGGAAATCCTAGAGAGGTTAAGTTTCAAATTGACTTGAAAACTACAGAGGTCCAACAGGTGGAGTAAGAGATCATTCAGCCCACAAACATACTAAGGCCGAACAACTCCAGAAACATTGAAAGTTTGGTTGATGATGGAACCCAACAATAGTTAGCTAAGGAAGCAGGTCGTGAGGGCTTGCATTGTCAGGATAAGAACATATCTGGCAGAGAGGAAGGCAGCAGCATTGCAAGGCTGACGAACAACAAGACACCATTAACATGGTGGAGTGCAAGGAGAAAAAGGTCGGAATGACCACCTCCCAAGAGTTCATTGAGTTAAAAGAAATTAGTGCTACCCCAGCCAAGCTTGACAATCTCGTAGAGGTTGAGGATCCTTTACTTGAAGTCAACCTTGGAGGGCCAAAGGAGCATAGGTCAACATTCGTTAGTAATCTGCTAGAGTCAAACTTTCAAGCACGGCTCATACAGCTACTAAAGGAGTACTAGAATTGTTTTGCTTGGAGCTACGAAGAGATGTCAAGGTTAGATCTAGCCTTAGTGGAACACTGATTACCCATTAGGGACTGATATAGGCCGATTAAATAGGCCCCGAAGTTGATATCCCAAGAGGTGATCCTACTAGTCAAAGGAAGAAATTGAATGTCTTTTGCAAGCCAAATGCATCCAAATAGCATGATACGCAAAATAGGTGTCAAACATCGTGCCAGTAAAGAAGAAGAATGGCAAAGTCAGGGTATGTTATGACTACCGAGACCTCAATGTAGTAACCTCAAAGGATGAGAATGTAATGCAAATGGCTAATCAGCTAGTGGATGCGGCCATGAATGTCATCATGTCGTTCATGGATGGCAATGCAGGGTATCATCATATTTTTATTGCCGAGGATGACAGACACAAGACCGCCTTCAGATTTCTCGAATCAATGGGAACGTTTGAATGGAGGGTCATGTCGTTCGGGTTGAAGAACGAGAGAGTAAGATACCAGATAGCTATGAGCACCATCTTTCATAACATGATCAACAAAATCGTGCATGTGTACATTGACGACATCATAGTTAAGACAAAGATTATGGAGAGACATATTAACGATCTGAGGGTTGTTTTTAAGAGGATGCATATTCATGAGTTGAGCATGAATCTGTTGAAGTGTGCATTCAGGTAGGAAATTTTTTTAGAGTTTTGATGCACAATAAGAGAATTGAGGTAAACTAAAATAAGACAAAGGCTATCATAGAGGTCATGCCTCAAAGGACCAAGAAAGAGATATATCACCAATCAGGTCAAATCAATTTCCTCTGATGATTCATCGCCAACTGCTTAGGGAAGGTGCAGAAATTCTCGCTACTTCTAAAGTTAAAAGGTGTAGAGGACATCAAGTGGGAGACACAACACCAACAAGTCTTTCACCAAATCAAAGAATACTTGACCAACCCACCGGTCCTCGTGCTTATAAAGGGTAGGCCGCTATTATTGTACTTGTTAGCAGCACATGAATCTATTTGATATTTATTGGCTCAAAATAATAATACAGGCAAAGAACAAGTCATTTATTATTGAAGTAGAATATTGACTCCGGTCAAACAACATTATAAGTCAATAGCTAAGTTTTGTTTAGTATTGTACTTTGCATCATAAATGTTAAGAATCTAATGGAATTCTCGCTGCAATATTTATCGCAGCACGTGGTCAATTGTTTTCTTGGTAGACCACCCTTGCATAGAGGTAGAGCAAGATACAAGGAATTCAATTAGTTTGTTAGGGGTACCCATAGTGTCTCTTATGCCATGGAAACTAAAATTCAATGGATTGCGGACACGAGAGTCTACAGGGGCCAGGCTGGTCATTGAGTCACCCTAGGATTACGAAACCCAACTTTATTTCAAATTGAAATTTGAATGCACTAACAACCAGGTGGAGTATGAGGCATTAATCATTAGATTTGAGGTTTTGTTGGGAATGGGGGCATTAACAGTCGAAATAATCAGTGATTCTCAATTGGTCATCAACCAAATAACGGGCAATTTTTCAATACAAGAGTTGGGAGTTGTGCCCCTTCCACTCAATTGCATTGTCTTTATTGTCAAATTTTGACGATGTAACATTGCAACCGATCCAAAAGGAGTTAAACTGCTAGGTTAATAGCTTGGCCTAGTTGGGATCAAGATTGAGAATTTCCGGTGAAATGAACAAGCAGTTGATCAAAGTTCAGAAGAGATCACTGTCATCCATCAAAGCCAGAGGAATGGATTTCAAAGAATTGATGGTGGAGATGGAAGAGGAAGACTGAAGATTTGGCATCATACTATTCCTAAAGTACCCAAATAGAGAGGTAGAACGAGACGAAGGGTTGCTGGCTATATTTTTATGGATAGGGAACTGTACCAAAAATGGATGCATGATGACTTATTGTTGAGATGCATTGAGAAGAAAAAGACCATATTGATAATGGCCAAAAGCCATGAAGGCATGTGCGGCGCCCATCAAGCCAGCATTAAGATGTGTTAGCGTATTAGGAGATATAACTATTATTGGGCAAGTATCCTAAATGATTGCATCGAATATGCAAGGGGTTGTCAGGCATGTCATCGCCATGGACCTATCCAGAGGGCATCAGCAATACAGATGCGACTTTAATAAAGTCATGGTAGTTTAGAGCATGGGCTATGGACTTAATTGGGAAAACCTTTCCCCTATCTACAAGACAACACTCTTTTATCATCTTGGCCACCAACTATTACACTAAGTGGATAGATGCCATTCTGATGAAGACAATGAACTAGGCTGACGTTATTTGAATGATAAAGAAGAACATAGTGCATCGGTTCGAGCTTCCCCAGCACATAGTGGCCAACCAGGGAATAGTTTTTGTAGGAAGTGAAGTTAAGAGGTTTGTAGAGGAATATGGTTTTAACGTCATTCATTCAACTCCGTACTACGCGCAAGAAAACAGCCAAGCCGAGTCCACCTATAAAGTGATAAAAGGAATTATTGTCAAGATTGTGAAAGACAATCCAAAATGCTGGGATGACAAGTTATCAGAAACATTATGGGTGTGTAGAACGTCCAAACAGTCGAGTACCGAATTTACACCATTCAAGTTGACGTACGAACATGATGCGGTCTTGCCAATGGAAATCACTGTGAAGTCGTTGCTAGTGGATTTCCAGCATAACCTAAGTCCGGTAGAATATGACAAAACCATGATGATAGAGCTCGAAGACTTAGATGAAGTGCGAATGGGCATGCTAGATTGCATTAAAGTGCAAAAGCTAAGGGCCACTAGGGCGTGCAACAGAAAAGTCAAAGACAAGGTGTTTGAGGTTGGTGACTTGGTTTGGAAGGCAAGGTTTCCTTTAGGACTTAATGATCAAAGGTTTGACAAATGGTCTGCCTACTAGGAAGGGCCGTTTGAATTCCTAGAAATTAAGAAAGGTGGTGTTTACCACTTAAGGCACTTAGATGGATAGCGCCATAATTGCTGCCTGAACGGATAGTTCTTGAAGGCCTACAGACCAACGGTCTGGGAGGACATAGAACGCGAACAAAACAGTTAAAAAGAAAGTGTCGTAGTTGACAGTCAATGCAGGCCGATGGCCACTACATTGTTCGTCCTAATACTTGACAATTGTATAAAATTGCAAGAAAGAAGTAAAAGATGGACGAATTAAGGATAATATTGTAAGTTTTATTTATGAAGTTTTGTACATATTCAATGGATACAATTTGCAAACATAAAGAAAAGTGAAGTGTTGTGTCGAATGAGTTGAAGATCTTTACCCCAGCTTGAAAATGACAACTTGTATGTTAGAGACAAAGAAAGGAGCGAGTGAGCGAAATCTTGGGTGAATGAGACAAAATGGCCTCAAACACAAGCCTTCCCAATCAAAAGCATTATTTAGTCCCCACCTTTCAATTATAGGTGGGTGCTGATGTTTACTCGAAATCTCTTGATGCAAAAGAAGATTATTACATCATACATCAAGTTGAGTGGTTAGCTGATGACAACCTTACCAAACCAATAGTTCGACCTGTCTTCAATAATCTTTGCTCCAAGTTGGACATCTTTGATTTTTATTTTTCAGTATGAGGGAGAATATTAGAGTTCTTATTGTATATTATTAGTAGTGTAGCGAATATTGTAATTATCCACAATATTAGTTTATTATAAATAAGGAGGTATAGGACAACACAACCTGCACATCTGATTATTCTCTCTAAACCTATTATTCCCTCTTTCTTTTCTTTTTCTCGCTTTCTCTAACTCTAACAATGTTTTTTCTTGTTTGAAGTTTTGGAGGTAAGGTTTCCATTGGGTGCTAGAGATCCAACAAGGAATATAGGGGTGTTTAAGTTTGTACAGATGTGTTGTAAATTTAAAAAATAGGTAAATGCGTACCTTAGGTGGCCGATTGCTGTATTCTCAACTCTAGTTTCCTTCCATCTTTGTAATTGATGAAAGGTAGACCACCACTGGAATTTTCCTGGCTTTGGAGTTGTTTGCTGCACATATCGTCTTAGACTACAAATGATCAGAAGTCTACAAGAGGTAGCGCATACTGATCACTAAGACATAGAACACATTGATAAAAACAGAAAGGGAACATCACGGGGTATGCTCTCCTACGTGATGTATTCACATTGGGATGCATTTTCCAATGTGAATGTTTTAAGAATAATGACCCAAGATACAAAGTTTTAAAGCAACCAAGTATTTAATTACCATAGGCAAATGTGTCGAGAACGCTATTGGAACAAAATTTTTATTGAAATAAAAGAAAAAAGTCCCACTAATTACTCTTATAATTATACAAGCGGCAAAAAATAACATTATGGAGGATAGTGCTGAGAACTGAATTTGTCATGGCACACAACCATTGCCTGAAAAATCAGTCAAAATTAGGGGTCAACGTGTGAAGGCTCGTTGACAAGTAGAATACAAATTCACTCTGAATTTTAGATGTTATGGTACCTAAACTTGAAGTCGAGGATCGTCTCACTTCCTGCTCTTGACATGAACAAACCAGGACAAGCCTTCAAGCATGTAAGTTCCACAACAAAAATGTTGCACACCCTATAATGCTCGTTGACCCAGCTGATCTCCATCTCTTTTTACAGCAACGTCATATGCATCTGCTTGCAGATTCGCCAAAACTTCTGAAAGAATTGTATCTCCTTATCTTTCTGAATCCCCTGACATATCAGAATATGACTGAATCTTTCAGTCTACAAGTAAAGTGATGCGGCAAAGACGATGTCCCTCTTGATCTTGGAAACAGCATCTTCAAATTTGGCTTCAAGCTCTGTTTCTCCAATGGATTTTGCAGCTTGTATCAACTGTTGAAGAACTTCCTCCAGTCTTCTGATAGCTCTGATCAAGCTTCCCTCGAAAACCTGTGTGATTTCCATTATCTCATAGAATTTGGACCCTTTTGCCCAAGCATACACGGCCTCCATGATATCAGGCCGAAAAGAACTTACGAAATTCTCCACATCAATTTGAACCTGTGAAAACCACAGATATTAGAAGTCAGTCAACGTTGAGCTTAACAAGAAGCAAAAGAAAAAAAAAATGAACATTCATGGCAAAGTCACATATAGAGTAACCAGGGATATTGAGGGAAACTTCAATAAAATATCACACTGCATCTAACAACTTTTTCTGCCATAACTAACCAAAAGTGGAAGCTGAATCAGTTGCAGGCTATAATATAGAATGTGTAGAAAAACCACATCAGGTTAATACGTCCATGATAGTGTTAGTTCAACCCATCTCATATTACATTATTATGCTGTGCAATCAACAAAATGCTGGAAAGCTTTGCTAACATCCAAAAGAAACCAAAACTAAATATGCCATTTTAAAAGGTAAACTAAATTTGCTAAAATGACCTTCTAAGATACAATCTACAAAATTAAAGCAATTATTGTTGAGAATCATAAAATTCCCTCCATTCTGTGGGCAATCCGTCGAGCAAGCATCTTCTATTGGACCAAGCACCAGCATTTCAGGAGGAAGTGAGGCTGTTTCATTGTTGGTGATAGTTAAATTGACGGTTTGAAGGAGAAAACAGCCAGAAGAAAGTTTGTTTTTATTAATAGGTGGATAAGAAGGAAGATCTTTTAGTCTTGGATTTTTTTCCCACAAGATATTAGAATCTATATCAAGGTATTTCCTGCGGGTTTCTAATTCTGACCTATCAGCAAATTTTTAAACGTCATGGCTCGTGAGGTGTGACCAAAAACGAATTTAGGTTTAATAAGGATTCTGCAGTTTGTTAAATCATTCAAGAGTCGACGGTACTTTGTTAATACAATCATCCAGCTAGTTTCTTATGGTGTGGGATGCAAAATTTTTTAAGCACACCCCCACCCCCAACCCTCAAAAAAAAAAAAAAATGAGAATGTATTGTAGCATGAGGGCCAGCCCTTGAGCTAGTTTCATAACAAATTCTGTGATGCACTAAATTGTTCTAACCAGTGTTTTAAAAAGCACGCCTAGGCGCTCACCTAGGCGAGAAGTGAGGCAAAGCGAAGGTATCTCGCCTAGAACACCCCACGCGAAGCGAATGTGACTGAAGTGAGAAAAAAGTGAATGCCTTGCGCTTAAGCGAAAGGTGAAAAAGTGAACGCCTTAGACATTAGAGGCAAAGTTATTTTATTTTTATTATAGACCATTGGATTAGGCAATTGAAAAAAAAATTATAAGATGTTAATACACCGAATTATCCCCTTATCCCATAAATACAACCCAAAACCCCAATTTTTCTCAGATTGCTTTGCTGCTCCTACTCCTACACGATCGACAGAGTCAACACACACGCTGGACTGGACAGAGACGATCGCTGGAGGCTGGACAAAGACGATCATTGCTCCTTCCTCACTGATCTCGCTGATCGTTGCTCCTTCCTCGCTGCACTGGTTAGTCTCCTAACTCTCCTCTTTTTCTTCTCTCTTCTATTTCTCTTCTGGTTCTGGCTCTTCTTCTCTCTTCTAGTTTTTTTTTTCTGTTTCTGTTTTTTTTTTCCAGATTCTGCTCCTGTTTTTCTTTTTTTTTTTTTGATTGTGCTTCTAATTCTACTCTTGTTTTTTTTTTCCTGATTGTGTTGTTGTTTTACTATTCTGAATCTGATAGTGTTGTTTTGTCTTGCTGTTGTGCTGTTTTGAATTTGATAGTATTGTTTGATTTTTTTTTTTCTGATTGTGCTTGAATTGTGTGTGTTATGTTTTTAAATATTATGATTTGGGATATTATTAGTGTTTATTTGAATGTAAATGTTTAAGCTATGACTGTTATTAAGATTTAAGATATTATTAGTGTTTGTTTTAATTTAAATGTTTATGGTTTTACTTGCATTTAAATATTTAGTATATATAAAATTAGAACTTCGATGTTTATAAGTAATTAAACTAAAATATTTACTTTTTTTTTTAACTGTTCGCTTCGCTTCTCGCTTCTCGCTTCTCGCCTAGGCGTTAGGAGTCTTGGTCGCTTCGATTCGCTTTACGCCTTAAATAACACTGGTTCTGACTATCTCAAAACAATTTTTTTTGTGACACCAGACTCCAAATTTCAAGTCTTGCACGCATCAATGAGATCTATCTAACACAAAGTTGAAACTTTCAGAAAATAAACACGAAAAATACGTCAATCATACCAAATAAGGCAAACTTCTTAATAAATAAGAATCCACAAAAAAATAAATACAATTGGTACCTTGCACTCAAGCTGAACCTTGGCAACCCTTCGAGCTGTATCTTGCAATTGTGTAAAGAGCAATTGAAGTTCATCCCTGGGCTTCTGAGCATCCTGAAGCTTCTCTTGCCACACAAAACAAGAGAGAAGAGATACCATCTCTTCTACATTGATGTCCTTCAAGACTCCATTAAACATGAGTTCTGTCAAATTCAGCTCATCTGCGCTACTGATTTCACAAGAAACCTTCCCCTTCAACTCCACAACATCATCCCTTGTAGCATGCCTACAAATATTTTATGCCATTAGTTATTCTGAGTTTTAAGTAGTTTAATTTATATGTTATTGTAATAAATATACCACTCGGGGGTATACCAGCCTTTTCGATAATTGTGATACCTATATAGAGTTGAGAGTGAGAGGTACGGCTAATAATTTCTCTTCCCACCTCTCACATAACTTCTCCACAAATCTTCGCTAACCCTAACTCTACATGAATAAAAAAAGTCATCCAAAAAAAATAGAAGGAAAGAAATAAAACAAATCCAGCTCAAACAAAATATGCAAGAGGGAAGAACCAACAGCGTAAATTGACTCTACAATCTTGGTCTTTATAAAAGCATATACAATAAGATTCACACGACATCTGTGTTGTGTCAATGAGAAGCACAAGGGGAAATAGTTCCCTCCCCTCAAACTGAGAGTTTTGCAGTATAGCAAATTTTGAGCTCTAAAAAATTGATGCTAATACATATATTAACATAAACTGGTTTCCACATCTCAATATTCTTATCATACAATCAGTACCTGAGACTTTCTCCATGCTTTGAATTATTCAGCTTGATTGGAGATACTCATTCATGTATACGTTTGAGGACAGAGGACTCGTATCCAATACCACATTCTAATTTTAGACAACCTAAGAACAACCCTTTTTCTGTTTTGGGCAAGTATTCCACTGTCAGACTCTTTAAGAGCAACCCCTCTTTTGGTTTGGTTTTATTTAATCCCCTTATGGATTTGGACGAGGTGGAGTTCAACAGTAAGGAGAGATGACCCAACTTTTACCTGCTTCACGTGTGTGCATTCTTTGGCATGTAAGACAGGCATCCTTCTCAATCAACAATGACGTTAATAACAGAAGCATGCACTGAACACATTTTTGGATATGGCAAAGAAAGAAAAAGGATTTCATCCAGTAGGATAGTCGATGGACAACTCGGACAAAGTTTGTGTCAAGAATATGCGAGAGAAAAGAAAACGGTTGCCATGGCTTAGTAAGAGGAGCTTCATTCTTTTAAATTGAGGCCTCATAAATTAACAATCAAAGTGGGATCTGGGAGGAAAACCTCAGGAGGATTATTACCAGTATCAAATCAGGGCAAGTTCATCCTTGAAAAGAACATGTCCACTACACAAGGAATTCCATCATAACCTACGAATACAACACCGAAAAATAAAGAACTTTTCTTACCCTAGTCTCCTCAGGACCCTTTTCCTCGCTTTAAGTTCATCTTTAAAAGCCAATGCCGTGGAAGAGCGAATTGTTCTCTTAACTGACTTAATTTTGGCCGTAAGTTCTTTCTTCTTGTGTAAAACTTTGAGCTTTTGCTCGATAAGTGGAGACTTTGCAATTTCATGCTTTTCAAACAAGTTCTCTAAGGCCTCAATTCTACGGACTGCCTTTTTGTATGAGCTACTTTGAACCTGCAGAATGTACACAAAAAAGAGTGAAAAACAATACACATGAATAAGGAAGTGCAGTGAAGGAAAAATGAAACACAACCTTCATGTCCTCTTCAGGATCCAATAAAGGCATCCCCTTAGCAAATCTGGAGAGAACTTCAGACACCTTCTTCATAGTATTTTCTCGAGCTTCCAGCGGCAAAAAATCCTTTGGTATTACTAGCCGGACACTACTTAAATTATCAATCTGTTATGTAAATGTATTAAATAAGAGTTCAATCTATAGCCTTAAGATATTATAAGAAAAGAAGTCAACTATTACACTGAAAGAATCTCGCTAAAAAAATATATTGCTGTTATGTTAAGCCACCCAGTGCCAACTACATTGCCAAAAACTATAGAAGCAAAAAAAATGAAGTCTCCGTATTCTCTAATATCACTTTTCCTCCTTTTATAGATATACACACACTGTAATATGAAGAGCAATTAAGCTATAATTTCTCAAAAGAAATATTAGCTTTTAAGCATAAAATATCAAAGAAAAAGAGAGATGGCTTTTCCATTACAGAATTGACCAAGTTTTTCAACAGTGAGGAATGGCCATTGGAGTTAAAGAATACCTGATCAGATTTGTATTCTAATCCACAGATTTGTATTCTAAATTACAATCCACAGATTGAACTACAAATTTTGTGCAGAAAAGATTGACAAAAGGGCCAAAAACAAAACCACATCAATTTTCAATAAAATATAGAAATACGAATTTACGAACAATAGAGTTGTATGATGAACTTTGCCTGAGAGAGAGGAATGGAAACAACAACAGGTTCTCCAGGCTCCTTCAATGGAACTATTTTGATTGTCTTTTTAGCAAGTTCATCCCTACGGACTGCACACCTTGTGAGAACATCCACCGTATAATTTGCATACTCTGGTTGTTTATTTGCATCATCTGAATCAAACAAAGAGTGCAACCAATTTAAAAATACTAATGCTATTGGGACATAATTTGAAGACTTAATGCATTGTTGACCATTGGATTAATAGTGAAGTGCATTCAATGATAGGACCCACTACCAATCCAATGGTCACGATCATTAAGTTCCCAAATTATGTCCAAATAGAATTGCTCATTTAAAAACTTCAGTAGAGTGGCAAAACCAATGCCTACTTAAATACTACCCACCTTCAGAAAGATCTTTCACTCTTTCAAAATTGAGTATCACTCCCCATGTGACCTGCTCCTCTATGGAGAAAGATGCGGAACTTTCATCACTCTTTGTGCACTGGATGCATACTAGCCGGCCAGGCTGCAAGAAGGGCAAGCAGTACCTTGGAGAATAAATAACATCACGAACATCCTTCTTCAAGCTTTTGTACTGCTGTAGCAGAGAGTAATAGTTCTCCAAACTATCTTCTTCTTCAATGACAATTGAATCCCTCTCCTCTTCGAGCATCTTCGCTTGTTTCTGCAATAAAAAAAATCCTCAAATAAGTTGGAACAGAATCAAATGCTAAATACAGAGAGGGAGAGAGAGAGCAAACCAGGTCAATGTCATCTCACCTCAAGATCTGGAATAGCTCTGTCAGCTTGAAATTGATAGAATGAGTTCCGGAGCAAGTTCTCAGGATCACCGTCTTCACATCGCATTTGATTCAAAAGCATGTTGTAGCTTAAATGGAAGGAACTGGGATGCAAAAGAATTTTGTTAATGGGAAGTGAACTCCATAGATTAGTGTATGCCGAGCTGTGGAGCAACAATGGGCTGTCTCATAATGAGAATTACCAGAAACTCAGAATGAGAATAGGTAGTCTACATGAGTTTGGGTGACGTACCACTACGCTAAGTGCACAATCCACAGATGTGGTGGGACAGACCATGTTCTGTGCATCGGATTACGCCCTTTGGGGTGGATGGGGTACATATATTTGATGGGCTTTCCTTGGTTCGGTGTTGGATGAACCATAGACTACTTGAAGGATATTAATATTTTTAGGTAATATCAAGGCATTCATAATCACATTAGATTTACATGATTATTAGATTATTGACTATTTACATATGATGCATGAGTAATCATAATACATGACATTGATGCTTCATCATCGTTTTAGCTAGAGCACCCAAATCCACAATGTATTTGGCACGGATTTGCCATAATGCTACAATTATGGTGAATGCAAGCATGATTTGTGAATGTGCATGATATATGACGTCGATGCTTTATCTGCTCGAGGTATACCTATCAACGTTACTGACAGATTTGTAAGAGCTATTATAAATGGCATTGCCTAAACAGCTTTTGAAAAAAAAAAAAGATTAAAGAAGAATTTTACTAAAGAATGGATGAAAGAAGAAAACGAATTACAATATTGAGGCCCAGATATCCTCAAAGTGAATAAAAACAAGATACATATCAAAGAAAAGTCTTAATGAAAAATCTAAAATAAAGCCGCCTGCCAATTCCGTTGAAGATCCAATAAAGGCAAACTTCCAAAGCTTCATATGGCTTTAATCCAAAGTGAAGCCATAAAAACAATTCTTTCCCATACATATCAAAGAAAATTTATTTTAAATGCTTTGAATTTCGTGAATGGAAATATGAATGGCTGGTTAACAACTCCATGGTTTGGGATAGGATCTCACTAAACTATCATTATCTTACTATAATCACCTCCAAAAATTCGACACATTACCTGATGTGTTACTGACGAACACCAGAAGAAGTAAAACATATTTAATCCAAAAAATCATTCATGATTAAAATCTAGCCCTTCCCTCATAACATCCTCCCCTTAGCAAATAGAATAACTTAATCGTATATATTCTCACATCTAGCCCTTCTCATGTAGCATCATAATGGAAGTAGTTCTCAAAATCATCCTCACATGATATTTTTTATCAAACTCCATGGGGTCTATAAGCAATGCACATTTGTTTGAAAAAAAATAATTGCTTAGAAACAGCAACATCTAAAAAGGATAAGGCACAGGTGTCATATACAAACTATGAGATGTGCTCAACAACCAAACTGGAGCAATGCTAAAACTAAGCCAGTGTGCAAGTTCAGACAGAAAGTTGGCTTCATGGAAAGATGTTCCAAAAGGGATCACCATGTATAATCAACAAATTTCCTTCCACAGTAATTTGTGCATGATTGGTGGATATCAGAAGCACCTACTTCTCACTAATACACATGCATGTTTAAGATAGCTCAAAGCTACCACAAAAGCACTCATCAGAAATTTCACAAGATTTACTGATATAGCAATCGACTACACCAAGTTATCTTAATATGAGAATGTACAATGACTCAAACTGAAGTATTGGGAAAAAGTAGAATGTGAACACAAACGAAAATACAAATTCATTCCTTGATATTTAATCAATTATAAAATAAATAAAAAATCATACAAAATACAATAGCATGTTTATGCACATAAAAAGGCTGTGCCAGAAGTACCAAACTGAAGCAACAGTTACATGCATACCTGTTCAAACAATCAGCACTTCCTTTAAGCATCATTTTGGCAGTAAAGGGCTCCAGCTTCTCGTCCACCATGAGGATGCAGACCCCGCGTTCGTCAATTCCTCGACGACCAGCACGACCACTCATCTGTATATATTCTCCACTGGATATCCATCTAAATTTATCTCCATCGAATTTTCGAACATTTGTGAAGACAACAGTTTTTGCAGGCNAAAAAAAAAAAAGATTAAAGAAGAATTTTACTAAAGAATGGATGAAAGAAGAAAACGAATTACAATATTGAGGCCCAGATATCCTCAAAGTGAATAAAAACAAGATACATATCAAAGAAAAGTCTTAATGAAAAATCTAAAATAAAGCCGCCTGCCAATTCCGTTGAAGATCCAATAAAGGCAAACTTCCAAAGCTTCATATGGCTTTAATCCAAAGTGAAGCCATAAAAACAATTCTTTCCCATACATATCAAAGAAAATTTATTTTAAATGCTTTGAATTTCGTGAATGGAAATATGAATGGCTGGTTAACAACTCCATGGTTTGGGATAGGATCTCACTAAACTATCATTATCTTACTATAATCACCTCCAAAAATTCGACACATTACCTGATGTGTTACTGACGAACACCAGAAGAAGTAAAACATATTTAATCCAAAAAATCATTCATGATTAAAATCTAGCCCTTCCCTCATAACATCCTCCCCTTAGCAAATAGAATAACTTAATCGTATATATTCTCACATCTAGCCCTTCTCATGTAGCATCATAATGGAAGTAGTTCTCAAAATCATCCTCACATGATATTTTTTATCAAACTCCATGGGGTCTATAAGCAATGCACATTTGTTTGAAAAAAAATAATTGCTTAGAAACAGCAACATCTAAAAAGGATAAGGCACAGGTGTCATATACAAACTATGAGATGTGCTCAACAACCAAACTGGAGCAATGCTAAAACTAAGCCAGTGTGCAAGTTCAGACAGAAAGTTGGCTTCATGGAAAGATGTTCCAAAAGGGATCACCATGTATAATCAACAAATTTCCTTCCACAGTAATTTGTGCATGATTGGTGGATATCAGAAGCACCTACTTCTCACTAATACACATGCATGTTTAAGATAGCTCAAAGCTACCACAAAAGCACTCATCAGAAATTTCACAAGATTTACTGATATAGCAATCGACTACACCAAGTTATCTTAATATGAGAATGTACAATGACTCAAACTGAAGTATTGGGAAAAAGTAGAATGTGAACACAAACGAAAATACAAATTCATTCCTTGATATTTAATCAATTATAAAATAAATAAAAAATCATACAAAATACAATAGCATGTTTATGCACATAAAAAGGCTGTGCCAGAAGTACCAAACTGAAGCAACAGTTACATGCATACCTGTTCAAACAATCAGCACTTCCTTTAAGCATCATTTTGGCAGTAAAGGGCTCCAGCTTCTCGTCCACCATGAGGATGCAGACCCCGCGTTCGTCAATTCCTCGACGACCAGCACGACCACTCATCTGTATATATTCTCCACTGGATATCCATCTAAATTTATCTCCATCGAATTTTCGAACATTTGTGAAGACAACAGTTTTTGCAGGCATGTTCAATCCTATGCTGAATGTTTCTGTCGCAAATAAACACTAAACAAAAAGTGTTTCAATATAAAAAGAAATAAAAATAGAACTTAAAGTAGAATCCGCCTTGCAAAGATCACGACAAGAGTAGAAAACAGTGATCAACGGCCAAAACCAGGAAAAAATTAAAGAAGTTCAAAGCGCAATATGCTTCATTTTGGCTAAAACATTCTGCATTGTTCATAGAGAGTAGAAAATTCATATTCCCTGCCACTTTCATCATAAGCAATTTATCCCCTTTTCCCAGAGTACATAAAAGTCGAAAGATGGTGCTAGTAAATTGCACCAAAGGTTTGGTATATACAAGAAATAAGCAAGAGTCATGTTTGAAGCTGCAAGAATGCCAACATTGGGAGAGTGAACATAGGTTGATTTTCAAATATTATATATGTTACATCATCCCAACCCAAAACCAATTGGCAATGGGTAGAGTGGCTCCTCAAGTATATAAACTAGTCTTGGTGGTTCTAATTATTCGATACGGGATATAAGCTTTCTTAACACTATCTTTCATGAGGGACTTGGGCTCGCACGTGGGATCAACAAACAAACAACCATAACCATGCACATCAGGATTTAAATGGATAAGAGACTTAGCCCACTAGCCACCCAAGGCTCAACTTTGATACCACGTTAGAGCATCCAATCCAAAACCAATTGACAATGGGTGGAGAAGCCCCTCAAGTATATAAACCAAGTAACCAAACTTGGTGGTCCTAATTATTCAATGTGGCATACATGCTCTCTTAACAATATCAACCTCTCCCCTTTTTATTATGATGAAATCTTTTGCATTCAGAAAATCTACATAGCACCCAATCTGATTAACATAGTTATATCAATGATATTGTAGAGCTATAAACACACTACACGTAAGGAGACATTCATCTTACAATTACAAATGAAGTTATAAATTTTCCCTCTTACCTTGATGAGCCCTTCCTGAAATAGTATCTCAATCACTTCCTTCAGTATTGGAAGCAATCCAGAGTGATGCACACCTATTCCACGTTTCAAGAGGGGCAGCATATTTGAAACCTGGATAGGAATCGAAAAAGTAAACCGTCATAAAAAATATTAATGTAAATTATATGTTAAAAGAAAAGGGTTTACATGAGCCAAACAATTTGAATGTATCTATAAGAGGAGAACAATGTCAAGGCGTTTTATTTAATCAAGGTGTTATAAGTACTGGAAATCTCATCTTCCCATTCACACAAATTAAACAGAACGGTAATAACAACTTGCCTGAGGTAGCTTCTTATCATCGTCAGATAACATGTCCATAGCACTCCAAAAAATAGTTTCTATGTTCACTTTCTCTTCATCTTCATTTAGATCCATCTTTGCCATCTTAGAACCATCCAAAAGAACACAACCTTAGCTTCAATAATTAAAGACAAACCAACAATTCAAAATAAATACAAACACTATTCTTATCAACAGATAAGAAACAAAAAAAAAGAGTGGAAAAATAATATGTGAAGAACTTTGTTCGACCACAAGGAACAGAAATTGATTAAGCCATACTTGAGGTGGACCCATCAAAAGTTATGATGCCCTAGCCCACCAAAAATTATGACAAGGCTGAGTTGTTTCACTTATACAGGATAAGAATTATGCGAGGCTCCCTCAAATCACAAATTTCACACCAACTAGAAAACATACCTGCATTGCAAGAAATTCACACTCCCTTTTGCTGAAGCTAAAACATATCACCGGATCGTATTGACGCTGAATAATCATTTTCACTATCTTGAATATGTCACTTTCTTCACCAGCTTTACCAACCATCAAACCCTTCTGCCATTTTCCATTTTCCCTTTTCCTCTCACCTTCACTAGCAGGTACAAGAGCATTTAAAGCTTTCTGAAAGCTATCCTCGTGAAATTTTCCCTTTTCATCCACTGCTAAGTACAGACCATCACCTCCAGAAGGGAAGATATAATGCTGAAGGGGTGTTGGTCTATAATCAGTGTAAACGATATGACATGGTTGCCGGTGGACCTGCACTCTGGGAAATAATATTAATACCATCATATTAAGCATGCATATATTTCTTCTCCATTTATAAGAAATCAAACCAAAAGACTTGATGATGTGAACAAATTTTAAAGTATATACAATTTGAAATAAGCTTCCTCAACTAAGAAACTCCACTCCTCTTGATTTTTCGGTATATACACTTTGTCAGTTATTATACAATTCGTTTATGTTGTCTATTTCCTCCTTTCCACAAGCTATCTCTTTATCGTCCACTTCTCTTTTTACAAAAGGATCTATCTTCCTCCCATAGTTTTTCCTCAAAAATCTAATATTTCATAAAAAAAAAAAAAAAAAACAAACAAACAAACAAGGGCAACTGGAATCAACCACCACCTATAATTTCTTTTGATGAATATTATGCATTCTAAGCCCCGAAATCATTACTCAGTGACTTGATAATCACTGTACAGATAAAGTTCCTTCTTACAATTAATAGAAGCAAAGTATATCAATTTACTAATTGTTTTTTCTTTGGATTGAGCGGAAGAGGGTTTGGCTGTTGAAGAATGAACCACTAATTGATCCCAATATGTAAACTATCAAGGAAAAAAATAATATGAAACCCTACTCTTCAAATAGCATGTTCCACTTAATTAATCTTGGGAACAATCCTCGATCCTCGTAAACACTACAGAAAGTGACAAGCCTCACTCACACTCTAATTGAACCTCAACAGCATTCTGATGATCGGAAAAGGCATAACGAAAACTAAGCAACTTGAAAGCACCTTCGCAACCCAATCAGCAAATTCCTTTGCATTGGGCACTGTAGCAGATAGGAATACAAATCGAGAATTCTTTGGGGCCATGACAATGCTCTCTTCCCATACCACCCCTCTTTCCCTATCACGCATGTAATGTACCTCATCAAAAATAATCCAAGCTACCTCACGAGTAACCTCGGATCCTTTGTACTGCATACTACGCCAGATTTCTGTAGTCATTACCTGAAATAAATTTGCAACTCAGCAACTCAAGAATTAAGGCACTCTAAAGCTTACTAGCAAAAACAAACATTACATTAACTATCAGACCTACCAAACAAGAAGCATTGGGATCAATTGTTACATCTCCGGTCATCAAACCGACATCTGAGAACTCTTCTTTAAACTCTCTGTACTTTTGATTGCTGAGTGCCTTGATAGGTGAAGTGTATATAACACGTTGCTTGTTCCGCAACGACATAGCAATTGCATATAAAGCCACAACAGTTTTCCCTGCTGATGTATGAGCCGATACCTATCCATATGTGAAATATTTTCCATCAAAAAAATTTCATTTTAGGCCGAGTGGTGTACTCCGTATTATAGTTATATTCAAAAGGTATCATAGAACATTTTTTTTATTTCTATGGGGTAAGCAGGAAAATTCAACAAAATATGTGCCAAAACCTGGATTTCAACCTGTATTATAGCGAGGTGTACAGAACTACAATCTACACCATACAACATAATTCCCCCAAAAATCAACAAACAATGACCTCTGAATGCATTCTATAATTCACAATACAAAAAAAAGGGGACAAAAGCTATTTTGTATAAGAATTTTACCATGACGGATTCACCACTGTCGAGGCATTTGATTGCTTCGGACTGAAAAGGGTCGAGAGTGAATGGAAATTCCTTTGCGGGTTTCGAGTCTTCTTGAGCTGAAAAGGAACTTGAAGGACGAGGAATGTGGCCTTCAGGGTATGATACATCGTGAACGCAAGCTACCACCTCATCCGCGCCGCCGAATAAAACATTCTCTTTCTGTTGTTTAGCTGGAGGCGTAAACTCCGTAGATGTGTCTTCCAGTGATTTCCTCTTCATTGATCCCATGATTACCTCAACTGTATTAAAAACACTAACAACATCATACCCCAACAACAACAAACAAAGTTCAGATAAACAGCAAAAATCAAGATGCACCTTTAAACAACCCTTGCACTCTCTCTCTCTCTCTCTCTCTCTCTCTCTCTCTCTCTCTCTCTCTCTCTCTCTCTCTCTCACACACACACACACACATGTATAATTATGTACGAATGGCTTCGTGTTTGAGCACATACATGTAGTTCAGGTTTCTGAGAACTCATTCACAAGTAAAGTGTTCTACAAAACCCATGTTTTGTGCAGAGAGGGCAACTTTCCTAGGGTTTTTACAACAGGGTGTTTCTACAGCAGCATGAAAGAATTGATTACCTCTCGTCGGTGACAATTGGCGGCGGACGGCCTAGCTTTTCCGCACTCTGCTACAGAGAGAAGAGAGAGATTCAATTCCGGGAATTTAGAGAAAGGAAAATTACAACTAGAATACGACGGCGTTTTTTATTCAGGTCACTACGAGAAATAGACCAACCTAAGTGGCACTGGCCGAACCAGATGTTTTTAGCCAAAGGCCGTGTGGGCTACTCTTGTCAGGTTTGATCAGTCAAGGGCAGGGCCTGCAGAAAAACTCAGGCCCACGTCTTATCCAACGGGCTGACCTTAAGGAGCCTTACATTTTTAAATTTACTTTAAAATTAAATACTAATTTTTAAAAAAATTATATAATTCAGAATAAAAGTACTGACATTGAAATAAAGGATAAATAAGTTTTTCCAGACCCTGACTCTATTAGAGTCGGTGATTAGGATTTGATCAAAAAAAAAGGGATAAATGAAAAACAATGTGAGTGTGCCCATGTAGACGAAAAATTGAAAAATTTATGAATTATGACTATATTTTATAACTAGTCAGTATCCGTGTCTGAAGATACTATACAATAAACAAAAAAATCTTAAATAATTGTTCAAATTCAAAAGGAATGATCTAAAAATATTCATACAAATTCTTTTTTTCAAAATGACTCGAAATATATTGTCGACCATATCTTTCATATTAATGAAACTGTCATAAAAATATATAAAAACTCTCTAAAAAATAACACTATATATATATATATATATATATAAATGCCTCTGAAAAAAAATACTAATTTAACTCATTGAATTTACAATTTTTAAGCAATAAATAAATTTTTACTCATTTATAAAACTCACAAATTTGTTATATCTACTATCACTCAATCCAATAACACAACATAATTAAAAACTCAACCGCCATATTTCCAATCTACCATATTCCTATCTAATAAATAAATACAAAACAAAAAAACTAACAAAACACAATTAAATTAACAATCTTTAAACGATAAATAAAATCATCAAAATCTTACTCATTAGCAAAATCTTACTCATTTATAATATTCATGAATTTATCACCATTATATCATTCAACCCCGAATGACACAATATAATTATAAATTTAATCATTAAATGTCTAATCTTCTACATATAAATATAAACAGAAATAAACCCCTCACATTTCTTTTTTGGTTATTAATAAACCCTCCTAACCAATAATTATTTTATTAGAAATGTAATAATTCAAGTTTTAAATGTAAAATAATATTTAATTAAAAAACAGGGTAATAATATTGGACATCCCTTGAGTTTTGGCAATATTACACAGACACTTTCAGACATTTTAAAAATAACATGGAGACACCCTAAAATTTGAAATTCAATGTATAGAGATCCCCTATGTCTCCCTTTCAATCAATATTGCAAACGAAAATTGATAATTTTATTTTAAAATTTTTTATTATTTTTACAATTGTCCTTCTCTAAATTTAGTACCAAAAAAATAAAAAATTTAATAAAATCAAATAAAATTTGATTTAGTACCCAACAAATTGATTAAATGAATTTCAATATTAATTCGATAAAGGTGAATATAACTTGGACAAATTAAATATCAATTTTTGGTAAAATTATGTATTAATTTACAATCTTAGGTTCATTTCATGTTGAATATTATTTGATTTTTATAGTCAATGTGCTATTTTTTATTTACATTAAATATTATTTACAAATTAAAAAGTAAGTGGGAAATATATTCTGTCAGATATATAAAAATTTTGAATTAGTTTCATGAAATAAATAATTGTATAACATGTAATTTTATTTTTATGGAGTAAATAATAACAAAAACAATACAGGGCAAACAAAAAAAAATAGTTTGAGAGAGAGAGAGAGAGAGTTATATAAATATATGAGTCTTAGAGTTATAAAATGAATAAAAGTTCAATTATAACCATCATATCAAAATGATTTGAACCGCAAAAAATTCAAGACAAACATTTTAGTTAGTTTATTATATATATTTTTTTGGATGCCAATTTTGTAGACAAGGTAAACTCTTAATGGGCTTTGAGCAATCTATCCAATAGAGTCTTACAATTTGACCCCAACGTCTAATTAACGGGCAACACGTACGTAAACTCTTAATGGGCATTAAGCAATCTACCCAATAGAGTCACTTCGTGTTACAAATTGACCCCAACGTGTAATTAATGGGCAACACGTAGGCCAAAACACGACAAGTTGGCCAGCCCATTAGCCCCGGCTGCCCGTGGAGCTAGGGCTAAATGTTAATCACTAGACCAAACTAGAAATTAACATTTCTGTTTAAATCTTTTGACTCTCTTTATTCTTTTGTATTGCTCAAGACACTTGACCCCCACATCATGCACCTTTCAGGGGTGTAAGTCCTTAAACAGGTCGCAGAAATCTTGGCTCTAATGTGATTCGAACCTGAACCTACCAAATTAAAATCATGAAAGCTTTGTTGAATCAAAATGGTTCAGAGATCGACTCAAATTTTAGGTGGTACATGCTTCTGGCTTAGTTTCAGTTTAAGATCATTATTCAACAAACTTGAGCATCTAAACTTATTAGAGCAACTCTAAAGGGAGTTGTCATCAAGAGTGACATCTCCATAACCGCTAAAATAACATCCCAATTGTAAAAATTGGGACTTCAACGGAAAATGGCATAAGAGGTGACAAAATGACATCTAGAATTTTGGGGTGACATATTTGACAAATTTTGAGAGAGAATAAAGAGGGTTGCAAAATAACCATTGGTGGCCACTGTTCCTCTCAACGGTTATATTCCACCCAAAATTTTTATAAAAATACAGAGAGAGGAAAGGGAAAAAAGACTTGCCTGAAATAGATTTGTGTACTGCTCCCAAAAAATAGCTCCCTGAATCCTTGTCTTTGATATCGAAAACTCTAGCTTCCCTGACCCTTGTCGTTGGTGTGCTCGCATAGCCCTGTTGCCGTTGTCTGGTCTGGTAAGGAAAAGGGGAGGAAGGGGAAGGGGACAAAGACGTCTGGTCTGGTAAGGGGAAGGGGAAGAAGACGACTGATTAAGGGGAAGGGGTAGGAACCGTTTTATTTAGGGGAAAGGGGAGGAATTGTAATTTATAATTACATATGCCCCTTATTTTTGTTTTAATTTATAAGTTCTAGTTTTAATTTATAATTTATAATTACATCCGTCCTTCTGTTCTTGTTTTAATTTATAATTTATAATTACATTTGCCTCCACGTTCTTGTTTTAATTTATAATTTATAATTACATCTACTATTGTTATTATTTTAATTTATAAGTTATAATTACATCTGTCCTCTGTTCTTGTTTTAATTTATAATTTATAATTATATCTGTCCTTGTTCTTATTTTAATATATAAATTCTTGTTTTAATTTATAATTTCTTGTTTTAATTACATCATTATTTATTATGTTGCTATTATTTTTAAATTTGTAGTTATTATTTATTATATTGTTATTATTTTATAATTTTTAGTCATGATATATTATGTAGTTATTATTTATGAAAAACTATGTATTGAAAATACAACTTGAAATTGAAATTGGAATTAAAAGTACAACTTGAAAATGAAATATTAAAATGACACCCTATTTTGACACCTACCATTTAATCAGAAACACTGTTCAGGGGTGTCAAAATACTGTTTAAGGTTACACAATGACATTTGACACCCCATTTTTGACAACAACTTTCCTTGGAGTTGTTCTTATCGACTCGAACCGGGCCTAGCCCAATACCACAGAAACCTTTTACCAGGTTCCGAACCTGGGTTCGAGTTTCATTCTCTGTCCCAAGTACCATAATGATGCAATGTTTTTCATATCAGTTTGAAATGAAGAAAAATAAAACCCATCACCAATGCGAAAAATAAATTAACAAAGATTAATTCTAAGAAACTAAATACTTTACAGTGAACTGATACGTATAAAACTATATTCTCAGTCATCCTCCAGCTCAAGTATCAACGAAAGTAAGTAGCTCATCGTCACCTCCAACATTCAGCAGCAGTTCATCAACACGGTATTGAAACCCAGAATGTTAGTTTCAAGTTAATCCTGCAGTCGGAACCTTCTGGAGAAAAGTCTTTGAATGCCACGGACGCATCCTCAAGAACCGTCTCTTTTTGTGATGCCTTTTGTAGTTTTTCCCGATACCATTGGCATTCTCTCCATATTTTCCGTACTGTCAGCAGTATCCATCTCAAATCTATCAAGTGTGTTTCCACGGTTTGACCAGCTACGATCTCTCAAGTACTCGTCTGAATCCTTGTCATAAGCATTAATTTTCACACTCTTATCATTTATCATTAGCACAACCAGATTTGTGTTCTCTGTCTTTGGTGCTTTTCAGGAAAAAACTAATCAGGTTCCCAGCGACCAGTTCCATCATCAAGGTAGTATTCAGAATCATATGATTTACTTCTGCCTTCAAATCGATCTGGACTGTCATAGTAAACCCTCTCATCCTTTTTAAATTTCCGCTTGGATTTTTTGTGCTTATCAGGAAACTCTTTCTCAGATTCCTGATGACCCCTTTTGTCAGCCTTCTTGTTGGAGCCGTACCTTGATTCAAGATCATGAGATTTAATTCTTCGATCGTATCGACTGGAGTTGGTATTCTCAAGATTCTCACCTGATTTCAGACGCTCGTCAGGAAAGTCAGCTTCACTAGTCTCTCTACCCAAACAATCCCTTCGGCTGGAGTGGCTATGTTCTTGGACTTTTTGAAGTTTGAATTTTGCCAGGTCAGACTCCCTCTGGTGAACTTTATTGTTGAAAATCTTTTTTAATCCCCCCTGATCATCTGACAATACTGAAATTTCATTTGAGTTCCTTAAGCATTCCCTTGAGTGACGATCGTGTTCATCTCTGTCCGCATCTAACCCACCGTCGCTGGAATCACTATCATGGTCTCTGCTCCGGCTGTCCCAATAATCATCTGGAGATACAGACACTTGGTTCCAATATCTCGAGCTTTGCCTTCTGAGCCTGCCTCTATCTTTGTCTTCACTCAATCTATCTCCACTGTAATCAGTACCACGAATTGTGTTCTTGCTGTCATCAAAATCATCCAGGATTTCAGACACTTTCCTTTGGCGTTCTGAGCTTTTCTTAGTGCGACCATGGTATCTATCCTTTCCCGTCTCCCTATCTGACATATCTCCATCAGAATCAGTTGCACTAGCTTTACTTTTCCTGTCCCGGTCATCCCGCAATTCCGACACATTTATCTGGTGTCTTGAACTTTTCCTTTTCCTATCATGTTTTCTGTTTTTATCTTTATCCCTGTTCGACCAATCTAAATCAGAATCAANTCCTGTCCCGGTCATCCCGCAATTCCGACACATTTATCTGGTGTCTTGAACTTTTCCTTTTCCAATCATGTTTTCTGTTTTTATCTTTATCCCTGTTCGACCAATCTAAATCAGAATCAATATCATGAGTTCTGTTCTTATGCCGGTAATTTCTAGAACTTGTTTCCTCTGTACCAATTTTTTCATCAAGAACTTTTGATTGTCTTCTAGCATCACTGTTGTGCCTTTGTCGATGCACTCTCCTATGAAGATCATGCTCTTCATAGTGTTCTCTTGAACTTCCACTCAAACATTCCCTCTCCCTTGATCGAGATCTTCTAGAGTGGTGCCTGTGAAAATCAAGAACATCATTAAAAGATGACAAGAAGCCAGCTGAAATGTGTAAACAAGAAACACAAGAATTCTTCCTCCTTGGACAACGAATTCTTCCCCTCTAACAAGACAGGCTTCCATGAAGTAAATAATGAGTCCCTTCTAATAGATTATTATAAATGTGCCCACTTAAAAGTGAACAAATGTCATATATACCACTAGAAGGCAGACCATGCCTTCTGCCTTTTTAACCTTACTAAGGCACAGAACTAAAAGATGGGGGTACTACAGGAAAGGCGGTAAATTCTTCACAAAAAAACACACATCAACAGTAAATGCAATGAAACAAGAGAACGCCAAGTAGATCACCATGAAAAAAATTCATAAAACAAGTTCAACAATCCTTGCATGAGGGTACTAAAAATTAGGGACACACCCTGACATTCTAAAAATGACAATTTCAATCGGCTCAAATTTGGCCATCATTAACTGAGCTGACAAAATGATTAATTTGACCTCACTTCATTTAAAAAAGTTCAGTTATAAAAAATATACCTCCATAACCTAACCCTCTCCCTCTCCCCCCCCCCTCCCTTTCTTCCTTTGCAGACCCACATCCCCCCGGCATAGCCCCACCATGCAAGCAACATATGGCAATGCACAACTTCAGAGCTGCATATAGGCTCTGATTGTAATTCGATCATGAACTGATCTCCTCCTTCAAACCCCCCCCCCCCGGCTCTCTCTCCCTATATATATATACACCAGTAGGACCAGGGACTTGGGGACTGCAAGGTATGTGTGGCGGCAGCTGTCTTTGTGATGTTTTTGTAGTGTTGAGGAGATGGTTGTTCCCGGTGTTAGTAGTGGTGGCAGTGGCCACGGACGGAGCCAGGAATTTTTTGTAAGGGGGCCAAATAGTAATCTAACAAGAAACTTTTGTTTAATGTAAGATCATTCAATAAGTTATCATTAATGTCAAATGTTTAGTCCTATTTATTTTTAATATAATTGTGAAAATTATTTTTTGTAAAATTAATCAAATGCAAAAAACAAATAACATCATTAAAAATCAATAATTTAAACTCAATTTTCATCATAAATCACTCAAGGAGAACAAAATTTCATCATGTCTCCACAGAGTATGCAAAAACGAACAAATCTCAAATATATATTCTATATAACTGTATGCCCTAAACCTATAGTGTTTGGGATATTTTGTACGAACTATTAAATTTGGTTATGCACACATGTGCACATCATTAAATTTAAAATAAAATTTGTCTATTAAGGACCATTAGGTTGATCAATTGGATTAAAATTTTGAAATGCCCATAACAACTGATTGCCCCTTATCCCTATATATGTCTAAGGGCTAAAACCCTAATCGACCCTCAATTTTCTCTGGAAACAAGAAGTCGCTGCATCGCCTGGTATGTTCTCTTCTTCTTCTTCATCTTTTGTGAGTCATCCATTCAACTCTGAATTTGCTTCTAGATTTGCATGATGTTGTTGCTTCTTCTTCTCTCTTCTTGATTTGCTGCTGCTTCTATCCTCCAGATTTGTTGTTGCCTCTCTTCTACTTCTTCTCCTCTTTTTCTTCTTTTGTGATGGTCCTACTGGAACTCTGCGTTTTTTTTTTTTGGGTGGAACTTTGTTTTTCTATTTTTTTGCTGAAATTCTATTTTTCTTGCAAGAGCTTTGGTTTTTTTTTTTTTCTAAAACTCTATTTTTTTTGCTGGAACTTCTATGTATCTGTCTTTATTCTACTATTCATTATATTTTAACCTAAGTTTATATTCATTAATTTTCTTGTTTTGTGTGTTTTGAGCTATTATTAGTGTTTATTTGAATTTAATTGTTTATGGTTTTGGTTGCATTAGAATATTTAGTATTTGTGAAGATAGAACATGAATATTTAGAAATAATTAAACTAAAATATTTGCCTTTTTTTTTATACTGTTCACTTCCCTTTGATGAAGTGCTCGCTTCGCACCTCTTGCAGCCTTGCTTCTCACCTAGGCCTCAGGAGTCTAGTTCACTTACGCATTAAATAGCACTGATGTGGACCTAAAAGCACATAATAACCAAGAGAGCATTGTGGATTTTCACTTATAAAACCAGTTTATTCAAAAACGTGGACAGAAAATGACGCCATAGTTTTGTAGTTTCTTACATTTCAAATGGCCGTGAAAGAATACCAACAACTCAAACCAGATGAAAAGTAGGCAGTATCCACAAGCAGTTTAACTGTAACACGTTTAGAGCAGAGGGCTAGAATCAAACCACTAAAAGCACTAATATAACGATCATGAACTATAAGCTGACCTTTCTGTGTCAGTTGTTAATATCTTTCGGGTGTTCCACAGCTGTTCCGAACTTTCACGCTCCATCTGTTTCTCATACCCAGATTCATTGGAATGACCAAATAAAGCAGCCATCCTTTTGAGCCAGTATCTTGGAGGCGGTTTATCCAAATCAGCCCATTCATAATCTCCACCAGGGTTGCGGAAACAGTGGATAAAATTGCATGCAGTTCCACGAGAACATGCCTAGCAAGAACGATGCAACAGGTAAGGGATAAGGACGGCAACAGGTAATGGATAAGGACGTCAACAGGTCAAAGAAAAACTCAAAGATTAGCATCAACATGAGAACTGCCAGAAGGTCTTTATAACTCAAAAAGTCTTAAAAAACAATTTCAGATATCTCAATTCCATTTAAGAAGCAAAAATTAAATAACCAAAAAGAAAATAAGTTTCACATGTACCTTAAACCTCAATTTCATATACTCCCCACATATGGCAATCTTCCATCTCGTCACACTGACAAACTCACATGTTACCTATAAACAATTTGCCAAGTTATCAAAATACCATCAAGAAGCAGTGTTGCAAAAGGACAGAAGATACTTCCATCCCATGAGAGGGATGACTTACTACAATCAAGAGTAATAACTGTGTGATGTATGTAATACCAAGGTAGTCAACCCCTTTTGGTTCATCCCACGATAAATAATATTATCTATCTTATTTGCATGAGATTTCTTTCTATAAAAACTCCATGATTTTAGACAACAATATGAGTCATCCAGGGTTATAGTCTCTATCTTTAGAAGCTAGTTCAAGCATGCAGGCAAATTTCCTCATAAAAATTAGGCCAAGTAAACCTTGGATTTATATTATAGCCCAAATCAAAACCATTGAAGTAGAAATAGATGGAAAGCAAGACACAAAACAAAAAAGACAGCCAATCTTTTCATGGAGGGTTGTACTTTTGTGGTTAGCATGGATAACAAGTCAAAATCACTGAGATTGGGTAATAATTAACATTCTAGTTCTAAGATATGGAGTGGCGAATCTCCCACTAAAAGTTTCACACAATGTATATAGCTGGTAATAATTAAGTCTACATAGCTGCAAAAGTAATTTCAATGAAAATATACCTGTTTACCAGCAAAATAACGACCATTTATGGACTGATAAGCAAGCGCGGCTGAATCCAATGATTTATAGTGAACATAGACATTCCCCCGCAAATGGGATGAACCATTTCTGCATACCTGAACAAAAATAAAAAAGAAACTTGCTATTCTTCAACAATGCAAGTACACAAAACCACAGACTACTATTTCATTCTCAATATACTAGCAAGTCTTATTCACAACAATTCAATTCCAGAAATGTTAAATTGCATATATAATAGTTTAACAAAGAAAGATGCAGAATAATTTGTAGACATAATATGAACACAACATCCAACTTTTTTGTTATATCTCTCTCCCTTGAGACTCGATACAGCTGCGATGCATCAGACCATCTGTCTAGGTGACCCCTCAACTTCTTAACATGTGGACAAACATTAAATGATTCTGCATGCAAAAAGACAATGCTAAGTACGTGACACGATAACACCTCCTGCTGTCGGCATCTGAGCGGTATGAAGAAGGAACATTTCCATCAAACTTTAGGTCAAATCCATTTTTGGATCATTCTTTTTACAAACAATCAAGCAACAAAAATATAATTCATAGTTATAAACCGGATAACTTCCCCAATTTACAAAAAAAAAAAATCATCAAGTTACTCAGGTATCCTACACTACACATCCAAATTCGGGTTCCAAGATAAGTGGTCAATCATTCTACAAAATAAACAAGAAATATATAGCTGTCAGCCACCTTGAAATTTACAATTTCACCAAACTTCAGGAATTCTGTATGCACGTCCTCATAAAACTCTTCATAACAGCGTTCGACCTCCTCATCCATATACTGAAAAGCCAACAACATTTATCAGCAGGAGTTCTCCCATACCCCGAGATAGTGATGTTGCCCAAATAACTAGCAGTTGTTAAGGATCTAAATTTCACAGAAGCAACAAAGTGACATCAGTAACCAGCAACAAGAAAATGACAATAAATCTGACACAAGCAGATCCAAATCTCCATTAGTTGAAATTAGAGATTAGTGATAGTACCAAGTAGCGAATCTATATATCTGTCTTCCACAACAATGGTTAGGTGTGATCATTTCGGTAGAGATTACATAGTGTTTGTAGAAAAGTAATGAATAACAGCTGCTATGTATTGAAGTCAGAATCACAGAAAAAGAGAAATCTAAAAATAACCAGGCTCAAGTTTCATCTTGTAGGATACAGGACTGCAGATATCTTTTACCTCCAACACAACAGAGGCTACAACCATGAACCTCCATTGATTTGAATCTTGAGAAGAATCTCTGATTTAAAAGGTCAAAGAACAGCAATAACAACTCTATAACAAATAAAACAAGCCAAATCGTGGTTAATAAACAAAAATTACATCAAACCAACCAGTAAGCGAATGATAAAGATGAACAAGTTGAAAATAGTTATTTCACGTATTCAGAACATAAACAGTTGGAAGTCTACTAATAGACCTAAGCGAAAAGCATCGTATGAAACACTAGGATGCACTCTTCATAAGTTAGTATGGGTTACAATGTAGTTTGCTTTGATCCTCAGTTCAGGAAATATATGACCTCTTGGCAAAAGAAGCAAATCAAGTACTGTACTTGTTTGGAACCTTGTTTCAAAAAGTAGAAATTATTGGTCCAATTAAATATTTATAGGACTTCATGAATTNGACAAATCTCCCACTAAAAATTTCACACAATGTATATAGCTGGTAATAATTAAGTCTACATAGCTGCAAAAGTAATNGGCGAATCTCCCACTAAAAGTTTCACACAATGTATATAGCTGGTAATAATTAAGTCTACATAGCTGCAAAAGTAATTTCAATGAAAATATACCTGTTTACCAGCAAAATAACGACCATTTATGGACTGATAAGCAAGCGCGGCTGAATCCAATGATTTATAGTGAACATAGACATTCCCCCGCAAATGGGATGAACCATTTCTGCATACCTGAACAAAAATAAAAAAGAAACTTGCTATTCTTCAACAATGCAAGTACACAAAACCACAGACTACTATTTCATTCTCAATATACTAGCAAGTCTTATTCACAACAATTCAATTCCAGAAATGTTAAATTGCATATATAATAGTTTAACAAAGAAAGATGCAGAATAATTTGTAGACATAATATGAACACAACATCCAACTTTTTTGTTATATCTCTCTCCCTTGAGACTCGATACAGCTGCGATGCATCAGACCATCTGTCTAGGTGACCCCTCAACTTCTTAACATGTGGACAAACATTAAATGATTCTGCATGCAAAAAGACAATGCTAAGTACGTGACACGATAACACCTCCTGCTGTCGGCATCTGAGCGGTATGAAGAAGGAACATTTCCATCAAACTTTAGGTCAAATCCATTTTTGGATCATTCTTTTTACAAACAATCAAGCAACAAAAATATAATTCATAGTTATAAACCGGATAAGTTCCCCAATTTACAAAAAAAAAAAATCATCAAGTTACTCAGGTTTCCTACACTACACATCCAAATTCGGGTTCCAAGATAAGTGGTCAATCATTCTACAAAATAAACAAGAAATATATAGCTGTCAGCCACCTTGAAATTTACAATTTCACCAAACTTCAGGAATTCTGTATGCACGTCCTCATAAAACTCTTCATAACAGCGTTCGACCTCCTCATCCATATACTGAAAAGCCAACAACATTTATCAGCAGGAGTTCTCCCATACCCCGAGATAGTGATGTTGCCCAAATAACTAGCAGTTGTTAAGGATCTAAATTTCACAGAAGCAACAAAGTGACATCAGTAACCAGCAACAAGAAAATGACAATAAATCCGACACAAGCAGATCCAAATCTCCATTAGTTGAAATTAGAGATTAGTGATAGTACCAAGTAGCGAATCTATATATCTGTCTTCCACAACAATGGTTAGGTGTGATCATTTCGGTAGAGATTACATAGTGTTTGTAGAAAAGTAATGAATAACAGCTGCTATGTATTGAAGTCAGAATCACAGAAAAAGAGAAATCCAAAAATAACCAGGCTCAAGTTTCATCTTGTAGGATACAGGACTGCAGATATCTTTTACCTCCAACACAACAGAGGCTACAACCATGAACCTCCATTGATTTGAATCTTGAGAAGAATCTCTGATTTAAAAGGTCAAAGAACAGCAATAACAACTCTATAACAAATAAAACAAGCCAAATCGTGGTTAATAAACAAAAATTACATCGAACCAACTAGTAAGTGAATGATAAAGATGAACAAGTTGAAAATAGTTATTTCACGTATTCAGAACATAAACAGTTGGAAGTCTACTAATAGACCTAAGAGAAAAGCATCGTATGAAACACTAGGATGCACTCTTCATAAGTTAGTATGGGTTACAATGTAGTTTGCTTTGATCCTCAGTTCAGGAAATATATGACCTCTTGGCAAAAGAAGCAAATCAAGTACTGTACTTGTTTGGAACCTTGTTTCAAAAAGTAGAAATTATTGGTCCAATTAAATATTTATAGGACTTCATGAATTTTTTCGTGCAAAGTAAGACTTGGTGCTAATTTTCCTGATCTTTTTATCTAGAAAAAGTGCCTTTTGTACAAGATAGTTTCAGTAAGTCAATGATGAAGAGCTAAAATTCACCCAAGTGACCATCAGGATACTAGAATCACATGAAGACTTCATTAACAGACCTCAAGACCCTCATCCTGCTCCCAAGCAAGGCCAGGTCCACTGTACATGTTCTTGATCAGCAATGTGCATGATTTATCAGGGTAAAAATGAACTCGGCTACAACGTGAGCCGAAGCGGCAAGCCCCTGTTTTGAGGTGGAAAGGACAATGGGCCTTATCCTGCCATAAAAACTTATAGATCAGATATGATGATGAGATGATCCTCCACAAAGGAAATAAAAACACTTGTCCAATCCAGGGATGAAATGATTAATACTGAATAGATTAACATGCCTTGAGAGAGATAGTGAGGACAATAGAACATGAAAGGAGTACCTGTTCAGTACCAAAGTTTGGAACTTGTTGAGCAACATTCTCCAGCAGCTGTTGCGCCGAAAACATATTCTTGTAATCAGAAAAGGCTTCAGATTGTGGAGGAAGAGGATTCGATGTAGGTCTATTAGGATCCTGCAAAGTAGAAGGCAACACTTTTATTTCAAATGTTTGGTACAATGAGAAGATCATAGCAAACAGTCTATGATAATTTACAGAATAAATGGTAAAGGACGTAGCAAGCTCGCAATACCTCTGTTTTGGCCTGCAGGTCTGCATCTTTCTTTTTCACCCGAACTTTTTTCTTCTTGACAATTATCTCGTTTCCTTGCCAAATAATTTCAGGAGGCCCTTCTTCTATATATTCCCATTCATCATCTTCATTTCCCTCATTTTCGTGCGCAACCTGCAAGATATATTATAATTCATTTTTTAACTTAAATTATTCAACACAGGAACATGTCTTCATTTGATCTTTAGATACCCAGAAAAATACAAGATACACCGCATAAAAGCTGCCAAATGCCAAATAACCATTAGATATCTAACCCATAGTCTTCGGAAACCAAACACCATATGATATCTCAAGTATGTAAGCAATGAACTGTCAAACATAGATACCCATTTATCTACTGTTCTCATTCACTGAAATGCTAAACTCTAAGTATGGTTAAGAGTCGGTAAATTGAAGATTTTCAAGCATATACCCACAATGCAGTCCAAAGGGAAGTACAATTTACAATATGAATTGAGGTGACCGGTGTGATAATTTTATAACCAGCGGGCAACNCGGTAAATTGAAGATTTTCAAGCATATACCCACAATGCAGTCCAAAGGGAAGTATAATTTACAATATGAATTGAGGTGACCGGTGTGATAATTTTATAACCAGCGGGCAACACACTCAGAAATTCATAAACAGGGCTCTGCGTAAAGCATGCGCGTTATTTACATAACTGTGCAGTGCCAATATGAAGGTTGTGTGTGTGTGTGTGTGTGTGTGATCATATAGACAGAAAAGAAGGAGGACCTGAATTTTTTTCGATTCTTCTTCTTCAAGAGCTCTCCTCCGTTCCTCTTCTTCCTCTTCAGCTTTCTTTCTCGCTAAAGCTTCGAGAAACAACCTCTCTCTCTCCTCAAACTCTCTTCTTTCTCTCTCCATCCTCTCGTTTTCTCTCTCTTCGGCAAGCTGAATCCTCCGCTGCTCCTCGGCGTCGTTGATCCGAGCCTCCTCCTCTTCCCGCGCCTTCTCCGCCAGTTCCTTCCTCTTCTCCTTCCTCTTCTCCTTCTTCAACGCCTTCCTCTTTTCCTTCCGGTTCATCATCATCGGACCTCCTCCAGGAGCCAGTGAGCTCGTCTCGCCCTCTTGCACGCATTTCGAGGTTTCTACTTTTTCTTCTTCTTCGATCTCGATTGGTTCGGCCATTACGTTAGGGGTTTGGATTTGGGGATCAAATTGTGGAAAACCTCAACTAGGGTTTTGAATTTTGATGTAATGAACTGTTTTTGGATTTAGAAAATTGGAATCATTCAGAACAACAAAAACTAGTAATTAGTACGCGATCACGTTTTAACCTACGCTTTTAACAAATAATTTAGTTTGACAAATAATTTAAAAATTATCATCTATAATCTATATGTATAATACTAGTTAATGTCCATGACCGAAGAGCACTATATAACAAACAAAATATCACTTTAAAAACAAATTAATTTAAACCATAATAAACAAACTAAAATAGAAAAATATATAATCTTAGTGNTCGAATCATTCAGAACAACAAAAACTAGTAATTAGTACGCGATCACGTTTTAACCTACGCGTTTAACAAATAATTTAGTTTGACAAATAATTTAAAAATTATCATCTATAACCTATATGTATAATACTAATTAATGTCCATAACTGAAGAGCACTATATAACAAACAAAAAATCACTTTAAAAATAAATTAATTTAAACCATAATAAACAAACTAAAATAGAAAAATATATAATCTTAGTGCGAATGATTTCAATTTCATCCTTCAAGTTCTAATTTGCCAACTTAGTATAAATTTGTGTTTAATTAATCTAATTTTCATCGCCAACTAAATTGATAAAAAATTTGAGGAAAAATTACTAAAAAATCTGGGAATAAAATCATAGTTGAGCGAGTCAAAGACCCACCAACTCGTCTACCTCCCTTTACTCCATCCTATCGATTCAGCNCGACTAAATTGATAAAAAATTTGAGGAAAAATTACTAAAATATCTGGGAATAAAATCATAGTTGAGTGAGTCAAAGACCCACCAACTCGTCTACCTCCCTTTACTCCATCCTATCGATTCAGCCATACCTTTCGATGTATTGGCCAGCGATCTCCTCTTGAAATCAGCTAAGTTGCAACTGTAAAAAAAAAGGAAAGAAAGAAATATGCAAAGGTTATGCCAATTACTGAAAAATCCTAGAAAAATTTGTGTTGGTACCCAATTGTCATATATTTGTGTGATTCTTCCTCGATTATAGTTAAAATAACCCTTGATTTTTGCCAATTCAAAGTGTATGCATGAGTTGGAATAAAGAAAACAGTTTAAATTTCAAATACTCATTGACTCAGGTCTAAAAAGCCGACTAATGTCTTCCAAGTTTATGAGCACAATCCGGCAGTAACCATAACAACCTCCTCTAATTCGGGCAAATCTTTTGTTAAACTAAATGTCATGCGAGCAAGGGAAAAGTATTAATGAACAAATTTGAAATCTAGGGTGGACTTNTATAGTTAAAATAACCCTTGATTTTTGCCGATTCAAATTGTATGCATGAGTTGGAATAAAGAAAACAATTTAAATTTCAAATACTCATTGACTCAGGTCTAAAAAGCCGACTAATGTCTTCCAAGTTTATGAGCACAATCCGACAGTAACCATAACAACCTCCTCTAATTCGGGCAAATCTTTTGTTAAACTAAACGTCATGCGAGCAAGGGAAAAGTATTAATGAACAAATTTGAAATCTAGGGTGGACTTGGAGCCTTACCCTTGTACATAATTTATACAATAGTTCAAAACATTTGTAAAGTGGAGAACCCTGATTTGTAGGATAAGGATCACTTTCTGAATCCTTTATCCATAGNTTGGAGCCTTACCCTTGTACAGAATTTATACAATAGTTCAAAACATTTGTAAAGTGGAGAACCCTGATTTGTAGGATAAGGATCACTTTCTGAATCCTTTATCCATAGCAAAGTAGACCTCCTCCATTAATTGAATTCCAAGAATCCCGCCCAATTGAAAGGAATATAATCACCAGTTAAAGCAGCTAGATGTAGAGGGGTTGCAGATTGCGAATAAGAAGGCTGTAAGCCTTGAAATCCAATGTCAAAAATTTCGCCACTACACCTAATGTAGAAATCCTTTCCAATATTGACACAAAAAATGTCCTGCAAAACAGGCTACTTTCTTAGCTGCCATAAAGTTGAGATTATGCACAGAAGTTAAGATCTCTTTTATCATCTGTAATTAATATCAAAAAAATCTGAAAGCATAAACATCAAAAACTCAAAATCTTACTCACATGCTCATTTCCAATCACAGAAGTTCACTGTAAGACAAAATTGCATAGAAATTTCTAATGTTATATTAATGGAGTTTAGAATAGCAGAAAAATGTGTATGTTAAGAAAAGGATACCCAGGTTGAAGAAGCAAATGATATCCATGGTGGTAATTCAGTAATGTTTCACCTGAGCAAACATCGCAAATAAAAACTAAAAAATATGAATCTAAATCCCAGTAAACATAAGGGTTTGAAATCAGATCAACATCCCACATTCCAGAAAGATAAATCATACCTTGTTCTTTATGTTTCTATCAATATAAAGGTAATTTTAGTTAGTCCTTCATTGAGACCATCATTTTATAGCCCATTAAGTTTGGCGACCAAGTACCACTACGCAAGTTCATTTGCTCAACAAAATATACATCTTGCAAACTGAAAAGCAATAATACAATGTCAATTAATTAAAGCAACACAAAAGCATCAAATTTAACTGCGAAAAATATTCAAGAACAATAGCAAAACCTTATAAACCAACACAACACCTGAATACTTCTTTTAGTCAAAACAAAGAAAAGGAAATCCTATGACTATGCTATAATGTTTTCACCATTGCTCAAAATGAGGCAGCAAGTCAATCAAACTCAGCTGTCATTTCAACTACATCATAAATAAACAAAAGTACTATACATCTTCAAAATATTTCAACATGTGGGTGCGTATACAGGTTCACAATAGCATTATTCTGACTAAATTTATAAAACAATAGCCTTATTCTGGTAAAAAAGTCACTACTCCAAATACAACCACACAAACAACAAAGTTAAACTATTGCAAGAGTCTGGCATAGGCAATAAGACAACACTTGGTAGTCATAGAAGAAAACCATCAGTAGTTGCACTTAGCTAAATGCAAATCAAGTTATTTTACCTTTAACGTGATAATATACTCTTTCTCTATTTCTACAAAGAATGATATGTGTTTCTCAAGTTCCTCTTCCAGCAACCTGATGAACTCAATTTCTTCTTCCGTCATATCTACCTCAACGTCATGATAGAAACTCAATCATGAAGTCCAAAATATAAATCCTGAGACCATAGGACACAACGTAGAACACTTGTACAATTTAGACCTGCAGTAAGTAAATCAAAGCCACTGTCAATNTTTGTGTTTCTCAAGTTCCTCTTCCAGCAACCTGATGAACTCAATTTCTTCTTCCGTCATATCTACCTCAACGTCGTGATAGAAACTCAATCATGAAGTCCAAAATATAAATCCTGAGACCATAGGACACAACGTAGAACACTTGTACAATTTAGACCTGCAGTAAGTAAATCAAAGCCACTGTCAATGTTGCGAGCCACCTATGCAACGTCATTTACTGCAATCCTAGAATGGAAATTAAATAGCTTCCTCTTAGTTTTAACCATGAAAGTTTAATACCAAAACAAATTAAAAATTTTGAGGGACAATAAAGATTGAGCACCTGCAAGGCTTGCAGTTTGCCAGACTAAATTAATCTATCTATCTATCCCCTCTCGGGTCTCACGATTTTGCGATGAAATTGCAGTAAACTTGATGAATTTGCGCCAAAGGAAGAGAATCCCATGACTGCCATAAGAATAATTGAAAAAATCAAACAAAACACATCAAAAGAGAAACATAAATTCAAATCAATCAATAGAAAAAATGACCCGTGAAAGAGAAAAAGGCCAAATGAAAAATGTAACAAATAGATTGCATAATTAGAATATAGTACCTTAAGTCGATGAATCGGGCTTTGTTTCAAAACACGTTGTTGTGTGTGTGTCATGAACAGAGAGAATAGAGAAAGCACTGTCGTTAGGTGGCGTCACCGATTGCCATGGAGAAAGGTTGCTGACAATAGCGTTTAGGGAAGGGGGAGAAGATGAGGCAGCGCCAGTAAGATAAGAGAAGAGGGGAGGATAAGAGAGATGGGGAAGATAGAGTCGTGTGTGAGAGTGGGGTTAGAGAGATGACAGTGAGAGAGGCGAGAGTTTAGGTAGAGATTGGGGAAGAAAAGAGAAAGTGTGTGAGAGAGATCGTCTGTTTGGGGAGAGTGAGGCATGGATTTGGATATTTTTTGGGCGTTATCGGTGGCGTTGAATGGGATGGAAAGTTACGTTGGCGGGAAAACAAAATTTATCGGTCAATTTGATCCGTTGGATCAATATATATGAGATAATTTGAACTATTTTTTATGTTGGGATTATGCTGTTCATTAGATGTGTTTATGTTTTATCTCACAACGATCTAGGCCTCACTTTGTCTCTAGAATTCAAATTTCGTTCTACTTTATTATATAAATAAAACAATATAAGTTTCAATAAATAAATCTGACGCTCCCAAATAAACTCATCTAACGGCCACCAACATCTCTCTCAAAATTATTCACATTATATTTTTGCTCCATTCAAATCCATCACTTCTCACTTGCGTTGTACCGTATTTTCAAGCACGAGTTATCCCTAATATTTTAATAAATAAATTATAAAAATATCATACATTGATAATTGATTATTAAAATTCTTTCTTTATACATATTTATCCACTAGTCCACTTTACCATTTTAATATTTTAAAATTGATGGTATTCTTAACATGATTGAGCAATGAAGTGAATATAAAGTGTACTAAACAGTTGGATTTAGCTCAGTCTGAGCTCCAAGGCTCTTGAGAATAATGTGACAACTTTAGGGGAATGAGGTAGATTGCACAGATGAGTTATAGTGATTCACCAGTTCGGGGGTTCGGCTAATCCATTCTTCAAGAGAGTCTCTTACTCTTAAGAATTATATTGAAGATGAAGAACGGATTACACAGTCTTCTTCATATTATATGGATTGCTCCCCCAAAGTGAGAACTTTGTACAATATTTATACCTTAGTTCCTAGTTCCACGGGTTCTGGGGGCGAGATCTTTGCCTCCCTCTTGTAACACTTCGCTTGATTTCAGGCGATCGTTTAGACGGTTGAGGTTCTTGTGTCTAGACTGGTGTTTATTGGCGTTGAAGGGGCGTTTAGTGGTTGTCAACCGTCTTCCACTCATTTTCTTTGAGGAGCAGGTTGAGGGAGCCCAAGATTTGGACCTCCGAGCTCGGGCTTTCTTGGCTGAACTCCCTTCCTGACTTCAATACCTGAACTCAGACTTGAAACTTTTCTAGATATCATAAAAAATGAATATATATTCTCAATAAATAGTGAATAATAATTGAATCAGATCATGTTATAATTAAATTATGTCTTTTTATTTTTATGTCGTTTTGTATTGATGAATGTAACTTCCATTTTTCTTTCCTTATTATTTTATACCCCAAACAAAAAAAAATTTTCACCCCATTTTTCTCTCCTAATTCTTATTTCACCAACTTTTCCATCACATCAAAGTATCTTTTAGTAACTTGGGAGGAAATGGGTCTTAGATTATTGTGTCATTGTGATAATTTGGAGTGAAGTTTTTGTTATTTTTTGTTTTTTTTAAAGAAGGTGAGAATAGTTGAAAATTATAAATTTCGTACTTAATTTGTCAAGCATGTATTTTTAAGGCACGAGGTCCAACTCATCTCAACTTTTTGTAATATTTACTACAATATTACCCCTTGCTTTCTAAATTGTGAGAAAGGAAAAAAATGATTCCAATGTTGGTTTTGAGGTAATCAAAACGGTTTTATATTTTGGACGGTTCATTCACCGATTTTTTTTTTCATTCAGAATGCGATTTACTCTATTCTATATTGATTTTACATGTTCCTTAGTGATTTTTTGTCGATTATGTTGTTGGATTTGCTTCCTTTTGGTTTAGCATACTGTTTTTGTTCGGATCTGGATGAGTTTGAGAATTTACTTTGGTGATAAGGTCATTTCTCTTGCAAAATGGCTTGTGAATAGTTTAGATAAGTAAGGTTTCGGCGTAATTAATTTTTTGTTATATATTTTAGTTTTTTCCCTCTATTTTTTTGTTCACTAGACCTTCAAGTTTCTTTTGCTTTGCATTGTTTGAAGTGGTGGCTCAAATTCAACAATGGCACGTCAGTTGTGAAGAAATTCAGCGTGGGAGGGGCGTTGATGTGAACTACCGATGGATTATAGGTGACGCTAGTGTAGACAGTAGGCATGGGGCTGTCAGTATGCAATGTGTTGACGGCGGATTTATGCCAGATGTGATTTGGATTTACACTGAAAGTGAGATAAATTTATTGGACAAAACAACAGTGGAAGAAATGTTGATGAAGACTTTTGCTTTGAAGTCATGGCAGGTGGGCGTCTCTGGAAGATTCAAGACAAAGGAGGAGGAAGACAACTTGGACAAATCTTATTTTTCCAAGTTTCAACAATTGCCATGGAGTTGCTGTACGAGACTGCCGTCAAGCTTTGGCTTATAAATAGGATTGCAGATTTCAGTTTTTGACAAGCTGAGTGGTTCCAAGTGAGGGGCGATCTTAGGTGATGAAAGTCATCTAGGGAACTTGAATTTGGGTTTTTGGAAATTGGGTTATATTCATGGGGAATTCGGAGGGAATGTGAGATTTGCCAAATTTTGTGACTAGAAATTTCATTATATTCAATTTTATTGTTTATATATTTTTTTAATATTGTTTTGTTCACTAATTTTTGTGGTAAGTTTTGGGTGGTGGTGATGGTGGTCGTTTACTATGTTTAGTTCACTATTTTTTAGTCTATCGTATTTGAGTTCACAACGGACTAGGAATTTCATTCTATTAAAGTTCATTATTTGTGAAAATTTTGTAAACTAGAAATTTCATTCTATTAAAGTTCGTTGTTTTTGTAGTTCACTGTTTACGTTTTTTTAATAATTTTTAGTTTACTATTTTTTATATATGTTTTCAATTCAAAATTTTAATATTTTTTTAAGTTCACTATTTATTAAAATTTTGTGCAATGAATTAGGAATTTCATTCTTTTAAAATTCACTGTTTTTTGGAGTTCATTGTTTATATTTTTTTGAATTCACTGTTTTTCCTATATATCTCTCAATTAAAATTTTTAATATTTTTGTAATTCTTTTTTTGTGAAAAATTTTAATATTTTTTTGGTCATAGAGTTCACTATTGTTGAATTAATTGTTGGTGGTGGTGGAAGTAATAGATGGTGGTAGACAAAGATGTGTGGCGGTGGCGGTGGGTAGTGATAGGTAATGGTAATGGGCTGCGATGGTTTTTGGGTGGTGATGGTTGGCTGCGGCGGTGGTGGTTGTTGGCGACAGTGCTGGTTGGTGGCAACAAATGGTGGTGGTAAGTGGGGGTGGTTGGTGGCATTGGGGGTAATGGACGGTTATGGTGGTGGGTGAGGGCGGTGGTGGGTGGCAGTGGGTGACGATGGTGGCAGTGTGAGATGGCAAATGGTGGCGGCGACAGTGGGACGACGATGGTAGTGGTAATAAATATAAAAATGAGATATTAAAAGATTTTTAAATAACTTTTTTCATTAAGGGTATTTTTGTCAATGGTTGATTTTATGGACCATTGGTCTTAAAAGTATTGAGGTTGGATCTAAAGTCAAAATAGTTCTCGACTTTGTACCTCTCACCAAATCTCTAAAAAAAAGAAACCATAATGTGAGACCTGAGCACACGCACCATGGTATTTCATAAATATTGTGGGTGAAATTGTAATTTATTAATATTTACATGGGGGTAAAAAATGCTAATTAAACTCTAATAAAGTAAGTATATTTTAGTTAAGTAATTGAATTGTTGAATTACGAGGAAGGGGAGAGTATAGGTGAAATTTAAATAGTGTCAAGTATTTACGAGTAGTTAAATGTGAAAATAAGAGGGAGCCTTAGTGTAATTAAGGTAAAAGGTTGCATGAGGGGACACTCACTTGAGTGTTGTTTCTCTAGCTTTGTGCTTGGAAGAAATAAAAAAGGGGGAAATTGCCTTAAGCAATAGGAGGATGAGACAGAGTTAGGAGAATGAAGAAAAATAGGGAAAAAGAAAAGAAGAAAACTCAAAGAGTTTTGGAGAGAGGGAGAGGGAGAGAGAGAGAAGGAGTTCACTGGAGTTGCACTTGCATGTGTTTTTGAGTGAGGAATTTATTCTTTTGTGTGAGTTGTGTGATCTTTGCTTGTTTAAAGGAGTGGATAAGAGCTATGTTGAGGATTTGAAGAGAACTTAGAGCTTTTGGGTGGAATTCGAAGGAACCGAATCACAACAAAGGTAAGGGATTCTTATGAATTTCTATGTTGTTTCACTTTTAAACATAGCTTTGAGTCATGGGTAAGTGTTGTGTGGTGTTAGAAATGAAGTTGGATAGAAGAAAATGGAGTTTGAACCAAGTTCTGGAATTCAGAATAGGGTTCAACTGGTTGAAGAAAGGTTCTGCTGATTAAACAGAGTATTGGTTGCACATCAACTGGTTGAAGCATGTGTTGAACCGGTTGATCAGAGCTGAAAGGGTTTCAACCGGTTAAAAGGTAATGACCAATCGGTTAATGAGGATAAATTTTGGCAAATTTAATGTGACGTTGTTGGCTCTTATGCAATTGATCTAAAACCTTATCAAGTTACTTAAAGGATCTTAAATAAATTCTTTATGGGTTTAATAGCTTACAAATACATGAAATAATGATTCAAACTAGAGTTGAAGCGAGTAAAGTTTAGAGTGGTTAAGAGTGCATCATTTGGAAGTGAGTTTAGGAATATGCTAACACGAGCATGAATACTTAGCTATATATGCATAATTAAGATTAAATGCATATGTGAAAGGTATTTATATGTGGTAATTATGATGTGTAGTAGGAACAGAGGTGTCAATTCCTACAACAGGAATGCTTAAGATCTTATTCAAGGACGAGGATTATGCGACATTGGGACTAGAGGTGGGTGTATTTCTTGTGTGTGCATGAGATTAATTAAATGTGTTTTATATGTTATAGATTGTGTAATTTGGTGGCTTATTGCTTGTTATTGGTACAATAAATATGCTTTATCATATTATTGACATGGTTGCAGACCATTGAGTGAGTTGATATGTGATTGAGTGAACGAACTTGTAAGTGCAATATGAATGATTTGCTGAATGCCTTAAAGGTTTTGTGTTATTTGTCGTTAATAAATAGCTGTGTAATTTGTCTTGTTAGTCATAACAGGATTGTGATTACTATGTGGTATATGATTAGTATGAGTAACCTTATTTTCGAAAAATACATTAATAACAGTTATATGGCTGATGAGACCAATATTGTCAAAATGATAGACACGTAGTCTGTGTGGCAGAAATAATCTACGAGGCAAATAAGTATTGATATAACTCTAATAGGGGTGTTAACTGATATTGATGCATTGTAAGGTGACTGCTCAAAAGACAAAGAGGTTTATATGTAACTATTTAAAATGCGGGTTGGTTAATTGAATAGTTAATGAGTGTTTATACATTACTTGTTATTGTTGTTGTTAATTATTGTTTGATTGCTTATATAAATTCACTGATCATGTGTGCTCACCTTCTTTTAGTTTGTGCTTTCAAGTAGTCAAAGAGAAATGAGTATTTACTTTTGAGTCTAGCGGTATAATAGGGAAGTGGGTTTCTTGTGTCTTATGAGGACATTTTGTATAGTTATTGAGTCTTATACTTGGGGAGCTATACATTGTACTAAATTACAATTATAAATGTATTATTTCATGAAAAAGAATTGTTGGGATATAAAGGGGAGTAAAGTTAAGTTGTAAACCCGAGAAAATTTAAATTTTTGTGAAAAGGGCAAAATGGTAATTAGTCATTACGGTACGGGTCGAATGACAAAACGGACCTCGCCGTTGGATTCGTCTCACGAAACACTGTAGAATTTTTCACGTTTTTTGATACGATCGAGCATCATGTGACTCAAATAAACGCAATCGGGTTTTAAATTGTAAAATACGAAAAATAATTTATTAGTTCGGATAAAATATATTGAACATAACACAAAATAAGATTTAATTGATTCAGAACAAAAATCAGATTAGGAAATGACGGGATGTGTGGTGCAGCAAGAGCTACGTCTACGTATTTCGCAACAAGAGCTACGTCTACAGATTTTTGGGAGAGAGAAAGAAGAGAGAGAAATGAGGGTTTCTTCAAGTTTCTCTCTATGATTTAGGGCCAACCGTTCGTTGAAACGCTTCGAGCCAAGAACTGAAGTTGATCTATGCGACGAAAGCTATATTTACGTTCCAAAAATAGTGGATTTTGTCGAAGTCTCAAGATCAAGATTTTTGAAAATCAAGGTTTGAAGCTTGATTTGGGTTCTTGAGAGTTTCTACCACTTGTATTACTCTTCAAGAGGTAGGGTTCTTCTCCTAATTAGGTTTGTTTTCAACCTACGATCTGCGTATGAAATAGGTAGTGTAATTAGAGGTGAAATTTCTTGTCTAAATATATTTCTAATGTAATTAGAGTACGTGAAATTATATAAGAATGTATTAAACCAATTTTGCACGAATTGAGTGTTGTTGAAATTGCTTGTTAGGTGATTTCATGAGAATGTGATGATTTGAGCAGATGTGTTACATGATTATGTGCTTTAAAGGTGTTTGATAAAATGCATATGATTGACAAATAAGTTATTTGAACGAAATTGATATAACATGTTTTGTGGTGATATTAGAATGTAATTATATGCTTGATGATATAAGTTACATTGGGGATTTGAAATTGTTCATATTGTGTTCATGATATGTTAAACATGATGTTGTTGTTGCAATTGAAATCTTAGTTGCATAATGATATGAAATGCAANTGAACATGATGCTGTTGTTGCAATTGAAATCTTAGTTGCATAATGATATGAAATGCAATTGTTCATTACATTGCATATGCACGGAAAACATCACATTCATGGACATGTGACATGGGTGTGGATGTATGCATGATTTTGATCAAACACCATTCTTGGTGGATAATGTATGAGCTCAAGAAAGTTAGGTCAAGGTTTAACTGAGTCGCACAGGTTTGCATTGAAAATAGGGTTAGGGTTAGCAAGAAAGGTTAGATTATCCCTGGGGTGCAAGACCGGTGATTTGGATAAACACTGTTAGTATTGAGTTCATAAAGTGTGTCAACATATGCAGAGCCATTGATGAAAGTCTATAGATGCCGTGTCGATTGGGTGCCCGTTGGTGGCAGTCCATAAATACCCACCCCAAGAAAGATCTGAGATTTATAAATGGTCATTGGATATGTAAAATCAATGGCTGGGGCTTGGAATGCCTGGAGTCATACGCATGGCATTGCATGTGTTACGAAAGCCAGTGAAGACTCGGGTTACGTTGCATGTGTGAGTCTCACCTCATAACATGACATAGCATTGTGGCATTCATCATTGAATTGCTTGTTCTTGAATGGATGTATGTTAATTATTGAATTACATGTGAACATTTCAT